CCTTCCCCCTAAAAAAAAAGTGATTGTTTGAGATTTCCATCTCTAAAGTATACGTTAATACATAATAAGGCATTGTTTAATTGATTTAAACAAGAAAAAACTTGAAGAATTCTGTCTAAAAGAGGACCGGCAGAGCTCAACGTTGGGCCGAGGGGTGAAAGCTTGTTGCACCGTCGCAGCACAATCAAAAGAAAAAAGATGCGACACCATTTTAAAAAGGAGGCCATGTTTGGGCTTCTGCTTTAGCTTGAATCAAAGAGCTGAGGAGAGAATATCTTTTTATGGAGAGGTTGAGGGGAAATAATCTTTTATTAAAAAAATAATCGCAAATGAAGATTCACTTATTACGATGTTGATGAATTAATTCCTGGATGCTCAAAGTTACCGCCTTGCACTTTAACCCTTAACCCCTCTCGCTCCCCTCTTGTATTTTTGCACTCCAGGAGTAATATTTTACTCTAGAGAATTAAAAAATAACTAAATTTCTCTTTACATGGATGACGCTGAACTCTCTAGATAGAATCTGTAATAATTATGACTCGCCACACAAAGCCATAACTGCTCCGAGTTAGTTTAGCTTCAGATATTTAAAAAATAATAGAAATCCATTATTATTAAATTAATTTTAACATCTAAAATGTGTGCAATCAGAGAATATTTTCACTTTAACGTGTTTAAAGTACTTGAAACCACAGTTATATTAACGATTCGAGCAAATGGATACAAATATTTGATTTATATTTGGAGTCTATGTCCATAGAAATAATGACTTGCTTGCGTAAAATAAAAACCTGACAGATCATGAATCTATTTTATATTCTCTCGTGTGTGTTACCCAGATATAGCAATCTGATAGCTGTGGACACGGCTGTGATGTGGGGATGTCCTGGTGAGATAACAAAGGGTGCTTCATCTGCCACTCGACCTTAATGGACCTGAAGTCCGATAATCCATCCTGCCGTCTGCTCCTCACTGGCAACGTCGTCTGAATTTTTTGCACCAACAAATGTCAATGTCATCATTTAAACAAAAATATTTAAAAAAAAATTAAAATCGAGCACTGATGTCAGCAGAACATTTAAAAAGAATAATATGTGTCCCAGGTGGTGTCATCCCTACGCCGTGACCGACTTTTTTTATATTGTAGAGCAAAGATTGGAGCTGAATTCACTCCATCATTAATCAACTGATGGAGCTTAAGTTCAGGTGGGGATGATTATGCATGTGTTCCGTCTCTGATGGACCTTTTATCTTCTATCCAGGTTCAAACTGACCGACGGGACGAGTTATACAAGCACTGATCGGTCCGTGGACCTCGATATGGAGTTGTCCAGACCTTGTGTGCGTGCGTGCGTGTGTGTGTGTGTGTGTGTGCGTGTGTGTGTGATAAACAGTTAGCACCTTTGTAAAAGACTGGATGTCAGCGTTGGCACAGAAAGGGTTCATCAGCTGCTTGTTACTCGTTTCATCAATGACGTCACATTGACCGTGTTTACCTGACAAGCTTCGGTGTTGCAATATGATAGTTCTAGGCACTGCTTTTATGACAGTGGGTATTTTATATTTTATCACACCCTTTACTATCCGTCTTCCTACGATGTGGAAAACACACATATCTATCCCGCAGTGTGAGCTGACTGCAACAATGTGTATTAGAGAGTAACAGCAATACACCATGTTCAGCTGGTTTTGTTGGCTTGCAGATATTTTGATATTGTCTTCTCAAAAATTGTACGGCTTTTCTTTTTTTTCACTCCCCCTACTTTTATTTGTTTGCTTTGAAAAATGCTTTTTACACATTATGAAATCTAAAAAGTAAAAAAAAAAAAAGTACATTTAAAAACATTTGTAGACCACAAACATTGTCGGCCCGTGTGCCGGCTACACTATTATTTTATCCATTCTGATGATTGCACATGAATTGAGCTTTTCTTTTTCAGTACACGATGACAAACACAGTGAGAGAGTCCTTTGTTATTATCTACTCAATATGGGACAACAAGGCATATGTATGTGTGTTTGTTTCTGTATTTAGTGCACTTACTATACCATGAAATAGGCTTGACATAGGAGTGTTGTTGGAGCTTTCTAGTTACCCTGACTGTGTGTGGTGTGACTTTTGTACCCAGGGAAAAGCAGCAGGCTCAAGTGTCTTCCCTCTGTCAGCGATGTTATTTCCAAAAACCTTAGAAACGCCCCCAAGACAGCCTGAGGATTTCACCCTTTTATTTGGGCAAAAAGAACAATGGTTCGTTTTGTATGCTACCTACTTTAAAACCGTTGCGGGTTTTAAGAGGCGATGTTGTAGCTCACACGTGGTTATGATATTTAGGTAACAGGTGAAATGAGACTAATGGTGTGTTAAAGATGTATCTGAAGTTAAGCTGTATAGAACCTAACGTAGGAGGCATCAGCGCCTCCACCGAGTCCGAGCTGTTACATTCTTTCTCCCAAACTTGTTGTATTACCTGTGCATTAGTATCCCTCAACTAATTAATAAAAGTTTGTTGACTAAAACTGTGTTAACTGTGTCAGCTTTTAATATAAATGTGTGTGTATATATATAACACATATATATACTTATATACACACATATATAATACTTATTATTATTAACATGATTATTATCAAGTAATAATGATTATTATTATTAATATTACAACGATTTAGATCTATACGTGCAATTTGTAACAGCAATTTAGAACTGACATTCTTGTCAGTTGTAATTTACTTTTGTATTGTGTTATAATATACATAACTGAACCACACAAACGTGTAATAAAATATATCTATGTATGTAATAAAGTGATTTAAAAAAAATCAGTATTCAGATGTAAAATCCCACACATGCACACGGCTGTATAGGCTGAAGGCAGCCGCGTGCATTCTGGGTCTTGAAGTCCGTCTGGGGAGGAGTTGTAACGTCGCGACAGTGAAATACGATGCGCCTACAAGTCCCATGATGCCTGAAAACATTGACGCTCGCTCTACTCTCAACACCTAATTGTCAACAGAGAAGCAATGTCCGCCGTTAGCAGGGAAGAACGGCTCTCAAATATGGAGACCGAAGAGAGAGCTTCCTCTGTGTCGACCAGGTAAAACAAAACGGTTAAAACGTTGTCTTTTTTTAAAACCGGAAATCACGGACTTCATAAAACGGTTTTTGTTTTTGGAAGGGGGGGTGTTGGGGGGACTTTTTTTTGACATTTAAAATTGTGAGTTGGTTTAAGCATCTTTACGTGAAACACGACCCGTCACTCAAGTAACGTCATCTTTTATGTAAAAGTAGTTAACGTGTCGCTGTTACGGAAGGCGGGACGTTAATTACACCGTAACGACGTTAACCGTTTATTACAAAAATGTCACATCGTACTTTCAAACCGTCGTTTTGCAACTGCGGTCATGTGGTCCGTCATCCGTGGAAGCTCGGTCACGTCAGCCGGCACTTGAAATGTAATGCTCGTCTATTCGAGGTGATGTAAAGTCAGCTCAAATGACATTTTGATATTCATAATTTCCCTGTATTTGACATTTTATAAAAATGAATCCTTAAGAGGTTATGTCAATATTTCACTGGATTCTTGTTAATGACGACCTTCAGTATGTACATGAATATTGTCATAAAATATTACTGTACAGTTTTTGAGAAAATTAGATGTAAAGTCAGCTCAAATGACATTTTGATATTCATAATTTCCCTATATTTGACATTTTATAAAAATTAATCCTTAACCAATGAAGGAAATGTTTTTTTTAGAGATCAAAGATGATTATTAGGTCATATTATAATTTTCGAGCCCTTTTTCAATTAAAGATTATACAGCAGTGTAATTTCAGATTTTATTATTGTTATATTTCACTTAATGTACAGAATTACGTTGTTTTTGACTTGTTATATCAAATTGGACAAATTATTGATGAAATATAGGTCTATTTCGGGGCTTTTTGGGCTATCCAAGCACCCGTACCGTAGCACCTCGAATAGACGAGCATTACATTTCAAGTGCCGGCTGACGTGACCGAGGTTCCGCGGATGACGGACCACATGACCACAGTGTTTTGCCCCAAACTCTCTCACTTGGTTTTCAACATATTTCACACGCGGTGCCCCCCTGACATAGCTTTAGCTTCACTGTCATCATCCTCAAAACTAGAATAAAAAAAATAAAAAACAGGTATATTTAATGTCTCCTAAAATATGCGACATGTGACTGGAGTAGCGTTAGCATTAGCTTAAAGGGAGACATTCATAGCTCGAATGAAGCAGGAAAAAGACAGAAGAGAAGCATGGCGTGGGCTTTCTTTTCTGCTGATTAAAATGCTGATTTCTGACAAACAAAAAATGCCCTCCTCTCAGGATGAATAGTGTACGTGTACAGATGGAGTGAAGATGTCTGTTCACAGCATATTGCACACACACTTGTGGTCAAATTACAAAAAATAAAAGCTTCAAGTAGCTTAAAATGACGCCATGATGCTACTACTAAAGAGACACAGCTACCAGTCCCAGCTGTGGAGACATTGGTACAGCTGTCTCTTTGTAAGGCATTGATAGGCTTTTGTACTTGTATTGTTCTTGTATGTCATTTTGAGTATTTGTCTTATATGGACACTGAGTCTGAAATAAAGTTTGATTGATTGATGAAATACAAGGCTACAGAATAACATATTATTTAGCTAGGTGGCTAATGCTCTGATCTAAATATACATGGCGTCATGCTGTGTTAGTCAGCTGTCTCACAGGTTCCACTTGGTTCCCCTACTGAGCCACCAGAGGGTGTTGCTGCATTGGTTTATCCGCTGAGGGGGTTTCTTCCTTGTTTTTGGTAGACTCACGTGATTAAATGGAACATGCCAAAGCCTTGTTGGCACTGCTATTGCTGCAAAAAGATAACTCAGGTACAGCTCACAAGTGCCAGAAAACTACAGCCTCAAAAAAAAATGTATTTAGCTGCATGGCTATGGTCAGTTATTTTGTATATACTATATATATATCGTAATGTACATATAGTATTTACATATATACCTTAATGTATATATAGTATCTGCTTACATAAGTCTGTCCTAGTTTCTTAAATAGATAAGAATAAAGCGTGTGGACTTTGGATCATGTTGAAATATCGTTATGGCCTCTTGTGAAATGTGACTTTTTTAATTTAGAGACATTCATTTTCTTTAATGATGAAATTATCAAAGTTTAAATGAGAAGTTTAATAAGTAGTAGTTACACACGTCTCTCGCTGTACTTACAGTATTAGTTAATGTGACTTGAGTTGTGTCTGCTGACCTGTCTGTCTGTCTGTCTGCAGCCACAGAGAGACAGACAGCTGGATGTTTGGCATAGTAACCAGTTCAGGCTTCTTGTTTCCATGTGGCTTTCTTGCTACAGCAGCTGTCTTCTGGCTGCAGCTTTTAAAGCAACAGTCCCGAAAACTACAGTGAACATTGAAGGGATAAACACTGCATCTGTGCCTCTCCCCTGTGGGTTTTTTAACGAGGAAGTAAACCCGACATGAGGTCCACTCTCCAAATATTGCTCTAAATGTTGGTTTAACTTCCCCTTAAGCAGTGTGGGTTAGTGAGCTGTTGGCCTGCTGAGTTTAGGGTTTTGGAAACAATTTGCCTCGTCTGTCTCCTCTGATCTCTGAGAATAATGATTTGTTTGTCTGGTGCGAGTGCATGCGTGTGTTTATGTGTCGTATGTGTGCATTGCCTTGGGTGGTTCCTCTGTCAGCTGATAGTAGCGGTAGTGTTGGGTTTCATCATGCTGCTTACTCCCCACCCTCCACCTCCAGTGAAGTTAGGGAGGGAACACATGTGTGTGTGTGTGTGTTTGTTGTCGTGCTGACGTCTCCAGACTCTGGTGTACTCGGTTTAAGAGACACATAGCAAGTCCCAGCAGGGGGGGGGGGGCCTCCACTCTGCCCTTCCCTTTCTGTCGCTTCCTCAACACAAACTTGAAGAAGAGGAGGAGTTTCTTTCAAGTTTGTTTATTGGTACCTCTTCTCGTCCCTCTTGCAGCTCCAGTCACTATATTGCGATACCGACTGTCAAAAGCAGATGACCCGAGCGTGGCATATGTGTGTGTGTGTGTGTGTGTGTGTGTGTGTGTGTCAGGAGTGGGAAGGGCCGGCTCTAACCTGATGCTATTAATACCACCTAATGAACATAATCTGAAGGGGAGGTTATCCTCTTACATTTGTTGGCCGGGTGGCTGAGGGGAGGAGTGGAGCGAGAGAAAGGGGAGGGGAAAAGCTCCTGAATTTCCACATCGAGCTGCAGTGCCTCCTGTCTCTCTTTCTCTCTCTCTCTCGCTCTCTCTTTGTTTCTCTGTCTCTCTTTCTATATTGCTCCACTGAATGGAAGAAACAGAAAGCTAAACAGATGCTTTAAAGTTTCATTTCTCATCTAATCTGACTCCCCCCTTTCTATATTTTGCCCTCTGTCTCTCTGGATGTGTTGTACCAGAGGGCACGGCCGTTAACTTTACTGTGCGGGTGTGTGTGTGTGTGTGTGTGTGTATACATACACTTGGAGTGTACTTGTTGGCAGTAATTTGGGATTAAAACACAACTTGTGGAGTACGCACAGTGGGAGCCTCCCATGTGTTTTTCCTCCAGTCATGAACTCTCTACCATCCTACTCAGGAGCTAGAATATCTGGCTGTTGGAATCTGAGATCTGATGGCAGGTAAGTGCATTTTATTTATGGATTTGTGGATATTTTGTCTCCGGAGCTTCTGTTTTTTTGTGGATGAACAGGAGAGACGGCTGCTGTCTTTGATATCAGGTTCTTGTTGAACTGCTTTGGGAAACTTTACATCTGTCACTTATTAACATGACGGGTTGAAAATGAGTGACTGCACTGGTGTTTTTTTATATCGTGACGATTACGTTCATATTGTGTTGTTGTTTTACACATCTCTGATGGAGAAATTAATGATTCGACACAACTTGTAAAGAGTAAAAAAAAAAGTAAAGAGTTGCTTCAGTGTGTGAGGAGTTTTGTACTGTTTGTTTCGACAAACACATTTAATTATTTAATATTTAGTCTTTCAGAAATATGTCTTTAGCTGAAGAAATATTCTCACTTCATTGAATTGTTTTCCTCATAACCCAGGCTGCACTGAGGAGTTGTAGTCATGCTCAGTAGATTTATGGTTGGGTTTTTCTCAATGAATGCCATGTGTTGCCTTTAATCCATAAGATCCTCCACAACGTAGAGAGGTTTCTATGGAGGGAAAAAGACTCAAGATGTAGTTTAACCCTCCGTCTTATGTACTGCTGCTGTTATCATCGACCACTAGAGGCCTCCAACGAGTCCCAATGCATCTCATCCGCTATTTGCAATTTTGCTATGTTTACTTTTTCAAGCGGTTCGGTAAATCTGAACTCCCTCATTGTTTACAAAAAATAAAGCTTTTCACATAGCAGCTCTAAGACGACTAGCGGACTTTAATTACTGATAGTAACTCACAGCTAAGAAGCTTTAGAAGTTAACCTAACCTAAGCATTGATAGATTGCACAAGGGAATGATTCCGCACAGTCCACCAGGCTTATCTTTTATGGCACCCTGGTTTGACTTTTTACTGATAACCAGCAGAATCTCTCTCTCTCTCTCTCTCTCTCTCTCTCTCTCTCTCTCTCTCTCTCGCTGTCTCTGTCTGTCCTGAATAACAGAGAAAGAGACTAAAGGTTACATCTAGGAGCTCTCTTACACAATGTACTGTAGTTATGGCATCTGGCGTTTTACAATCCTCACTGGGTGAAGTGCGGATGTCTAGAATACTGCAGTGAGTATTCAAGACTTCTGCCTCAAAGACATTGGTGATTATTTATGACATCAGTGATTAAGATTATGTCCAAGCAGTCTTTTCTTCAGGCTATAATATGTTGTACAGCACCACAGACTTCATCCGAGGGGGAGCAGGTTACTGTACTCAGCAACGGGTCAGACCAGTTCTTACCTAATCTTAATTAGTCACGACCATAAACTAACTCATTGTTCTTCACCGTCCTCTCGACGTGCCACTCAATTAAACTCTGAGCGCTCGGTTGCCAGATTCTGTTACAGAAGTGTGCGTGTTGAAATACAGGTGAGTCGTACATGAAGTTCTCAGAGTGGAAGAAGTATCGGTGTTGTGTAGAATATGTTGATCCACCAACATGTTTGGTTTGAATAGTGAATGCAAATTCATTGTGCCTGCTTCCTACGAGACTCTCGTACCTGCTTTGAACGACTTGTCACTTTTTATCTGTCAAAACACTTCATCACAAAGGTCTTAGTCACTGCAACTCTCTCAGTGCTGCATGATTCAGTTGCATGAGTGGGAGGGGCCGTAGTTGCTATAGTTTTATCGAGTCAACATAATTTTTTTCCACAGAGGTAGTAACATATAGTGCACTTTGGTATCTGCAGCAGTTTACTGTACATGATCAGACAAAGCTCACCTGTTAATCATTAACCCACAGGAGGCTAACAAGGTCACTGTTCTCTGAAGTTCATCTGTATTCCATCCCAAAGACGAGCTGCCCGTTTGTGTTTGTTTGTGTCACAGGAAGGAGCTTTGCTCAAAGGCAATCCTGCAGATTACAAACCCTGATTACATGTCACTGTTTGTAATGAGGGTGATTTAGCTCATGTCTGCGCAATAAAACAATGAGAAATTGCGAGAGTTAGAGAATTGTACGCAAAACCAGTAATTTGAGCAACAAAACGGTGACGACATGTTCTGTTGAGTTGCAGCGGAGGCAGCGAGGGGTCTCTGGACCGGCTTCTCCCCACAATCAGCACCGGCCTCTCCCCGAGGAAGAGGACCACCAGTCAGTGCAAGTCCGATCCTCCTCTTCTGCGCACCTCCAAACGAACCATTTACACCGCGGGCCGCCCGCCGTGGTACAACGAGCACGGAGCGCAGTCCAAAGAGGCCTTCGTCATCGGTAGGACGCAACAAACACTCATGTTTTCTTTCCTTTTAGGAGTACGTTCTCCAAGTCTGAATCTAAAGTCTGAGTAAGAGTCTAAATCTAAAGAACTGAGTCTAAATCTAAAGTCTGAGTCTAAATAACTGAGTCTGAGTCTAAAGAACTGAGTACCTCTACTAGGACACTGTTGAATTTAAAGGTCATTTTGTATTGATACCCTCTACAAGCAGATAAGAAGTGTTTTTTACAGTAATAAGTGAACACTGTATTTACTGCTAATGTGTATCGACGAGCTCTTTCACATTGTTATTGACATTGTAACAGAGTTAGTAGTGTCTCTGCTTTACCTTGAAGAGAGCTCTGGTATCTGTTTCAGCCTGCGTCCCTGCATGACAACGATAGCCTACAGCGCTCTCAGCACGCATGTTATCAGGGTGCCTCGTCAAGCCAGCGCTTGCACAGTGCGTTCCCACCAAGCAAAGGTATTTTTTTATTACTTTTGCAGCCTGACAGGTGTCTCATGTGGTGTCTCATGTTGTGTCACAGGTCTGTGCGGCGGCAGCGCTTCAGGAAAGACGACGGTAGCTCGGAAAATCATCGAAGATCTGGACGTGCCGTGGGTCGTGTTGCTCTCCATGGACTCCTTTTACAAGGTGTGCATGTGTGTGCAGTGTGTATTTACTAAACAAGCATCAATCACATACATGTTTGGCTTCCCACAGTCACATGATGAATGTGATTCAGGTGAAGAAAAAACACTTATTTTAAGTTATTTCATTTTGATGCAAAGATTGGTTTATTAGCAGTAACGTAGCTCAACATCGAAGTGAAAGCAGTGCTCGGTTTATTTAAACATAGAGGAGCAATACAAATATTTTGTTCCTTAATTAAAATCAATTAATTATCATTTTGGCCATAATGGTGCAGCTCAAGTAATGATTGTGTGTGTGTGTCCATTTGCACACAACCTCACATCACAACATTCATAAACAGGTGTGTGTTCAATAACATGTCTTCTGTCAGACTAGTCTAAAGAAAACATCCTAAACACACATTCAGGTGTTTATTTTACTACTAAATTCACCAAAAGTTACCTTTACATAATGCCTCATTTACATATTTAAACACAACATTTCAGATAAAACTTGTCTTGATGTCAGTAATGAACTGGGGAAGTTTCATGGTGTTTTGTAGTAGTTACATTTGAACTAACCCTCCAGTGGCCTGAAGGAAGAGACAGAGGTGTTAGATTTAGGATCCGTTGGACCCCAGAGGGGGAAATGAGGACAAGAGGAGAGGAAGGAGACAGAACGGATAAAATATTAGAAGAGTCAAAGCACAGCGGTGAGCGAATTGGGGGGGGAAGAGTGGTGGAATGAAATGGAGCGTTCTTGCCGCTCTGCGGTTATGTAATCCCGGGTTTACCAGTGGCCAAGTGGCCAGTTTGCACTCTGCAACACCAGACATGAATTCATATCTCCCGTTTGTGTTTCCTCGTGTTGAGCCTGTTACCCCAGTTCATCACACTAAGTGTGTAATGAGTTCACTGGATTAGTGTTGCTCTTCTAAATCATCCAACATTCCAAGTCTGAGGTTGTAATGCTGGGCTACCCTAAGGGCACACACACACACACACACACACACACACCACCTGGTACAGACGTCACAGTGGCGCATGATGTTCTTCCTAAATTTAGGTCCCCTAACTTCGACTGCTCTTGAACGGTCTCTAAGTGTTTTTGCACAAGCTCGTGTTAACGATACGTAAAACCACGATCTGAGCCTGTGTGCTTGTTTTTATTACAATGCATTCGTGTAAAACTGTTGATATGCAAACTTTAATGTGAGAGTCTTGGCAAAAGCAAGAAACAGAGACAGATGAAATATTTTGCACAGAAAGTCTTTTGCTGTTGTTTAATAATCCCGGCGTTGTGGCGATCCTGCAGGTGCTGACCCCAGACCAGCAGACTCTGGCCGCCAGCAACGACTACAACTTCGACCACCCCGACGCCTTCGACTTCGACCTGCTGACGCACACGCTGCGCAAACTCAAACAGGGCAAGAGCGTGAAGATCCCCGTGTACGACTTCACGACCCACGGGAGACAGAAGGAGTGGGTGAGGATGAAACACGCACGGCGGTGCACTCTCAGTTTTTCTCTCGATTACCTAAGAGGTTTATAATCTCCCTCCGCCAGAGCTTCAGAGTCACATCGCAAATCCGCCTCTCCAGATGGCCTCCGACAAGCCGTTGTTGTGATTGCTCGTTCTCGTACTTTTCACATTTCGGACTTTCTCTCAGCGGTCTAATTAGGATTGATGGTGACGTGCTGCCTGTATGTCCGTGTGTAACAACTCATGCAACGTTGTGTCCTCCACAGAAAACCCTGTACGGAGCCAGCGTCATCATCTTCGAGGGAATCATGTCCTTTGCTGATAAGAAGCTCCTGCAGGTAGGGCAAGGTTATCGTGCTGATGTCAGCTTTATGTTTGTGTGCATGGAGTCAAAACATGTTGTTTCTGTGAGTAATGTGGGAGGGAACTTATTTTAAATTCACTCACACCGACCAGTTTCGTCTTTGCAAAAACAGGCTTGTCTTGAAATGTAACTTCAAAACACTGGATTAGGATTCATATTACTTCTTTATTTATATGCATGTAATGTTTACTGAAATGTGCCACGCACAGAAACACTGAAGACATGTTTAAAGTGACAAGATTCATATTCAACTGTAAAATGTCACTTACTTAACTTTTTATACACAGACTAATACAACAAAGTTAATGCTTTCAGGTGCTTAAATGTTTTTGTTTTAATAATTATGAGTTTAAAAACATATTTTTCATCTTCAAGTCTGTCTATTGAGAAGGATACTGCACTTATTAATGTGATTATAGCTGATATTAATTAAAACTCATTGACCCTTTAATCTTACATTCAGTACAAAGCTATAAAACAAAAATATAAAAACAGAATCAATTATAAAGATGATCATTTATTTATAGAGACTGTTTTGTGTGATTATTTCACACATTGTTGAGAAAAAGCACAGTGAACTTTTCAACACATTTACAGCGATTCCATTATCAAAATGACGCTCTAGAGCAGTGGTCCCCAAACTAAGGCCCGCCTCCACATTTGGCCCGGCCCCCTGAACAATACCAGAGACGCATTATGATTTTTTTTCAGTCTGGCCACGCAAATCCTACACTAGCCCCTGTCAAATAGAACGGAATAATGGCGAAAAGGTTAGGTAAGAGAAAAATTGATTCAGAATGCAGGGTATTTAACCTGCAGTGGTCAAACGATTATTTTTTTGTTCAATGCAAAGAAAAGGCTGTTTGTCTCATCTGTCAAGAGGCGGTGGCGGTATTCAAAGAATACAATCTGCGCCGACACTATGAATCCCGTCACAAAGACAAGTATGATAACTTGCAAGGCCAAATGCGAGCAGACAAACTCTCAAAGCTAAAAAGTGGACTGTTAGCTCAGCAGAATACATTTGTACGCCAAGCTCAGCTGAACCAGTCATCCGTTCGGGCCAGCTTTCGGGTTGCTCAACTGATAGCAAGCAGCGGTAAACCTTTCACTGATGGAGAGTTTGTCAAGAAATGTTTGAATGCTGTCGCGGAAGAGGTGTGTCCCGAGAAGAAAGATGTCTTTAATGCTGCGAGTCTGTCGGCGAGTACAATCACCAGACGCATTGAAGAAATCGGGGGTAATGTATATGCCCAGCTGCAGCAGAAGACGAAAGAATTAGACTTTTTTTCATTAGCACTGGATGAGAGCACGGATGTGCAAGACACAGCGCAGCTGCTCATTTTTATTCGTGGAGTTAGCGCAAACTTTGAGATGTGCGAGGAGCTGGCAGCCCTCCAAAGTCTCAAAGGGACTACAACGGGGGAGGATATTTTCGGCAAAGTATGCCAAACCATGGAAGAGTTGGACCTAGACTGGTCAAAGCTTGCCAGCATCGGGGCTCCTAGTATGGTGGGCGCGTCTCGTGGTCTAATAGGACGCATGAACCGGGAGATGGAAGAACGGGGTCTCACCGCCCCGATACAAGTCCACTGCCTAATTCACCAGCAAGCACTGTGCTGCAAAGTGTTGAAGTGGGATTCTGTCATGAAGGTTGTGGTGTCATGCATAAACTTCATCAGAGCAAAGGGACTTAAACACAGGCAGTTCCAACAATTCCTGTCTGAACTGGAGTCTGCGCACGGCGATGTGCTGTACTACACAGAGGTCCGATGGTTGAGCCGGGGCAGAGTTTTGAGGCGTTTTTACGAGCTGCTACCCGAAATTAACTCATTTCTTCATTCAAAAGATAAAACGGTCCCAGAGCTGATCGACCCAGAATGGAAATGGCACCTCGCATTTTTAACAGACGTGACAGAAATGCTGAACAGCCTTAACTTGCAGCTACAAGGCCAGGGGAAACTCATTTGCGACATGTATTCTCACATAAAAGCATTTGAGGTGAAACTTGCGCTGCTTTTGGAACAAGTGAAAAATCACAACTTCATCCATCTCCCTGCTACCCAAAACCTCTCTGCAGAGAACCCAGCGGTCCCGTTCCCAGCTGAAAAATGTGTGGAAGCACTGGAAATGTTGAAGGCGGAGTTCGGTGTGCGATTCCAGCAACTACATGTTAATGCAAAAGAAATCCGTCTTTTCCAGAACCCCTTTCTTGCCGACATCGATGAAGCCCAGCCTTCTTATCAGTTTGAGTTGGCCGAGTTACAGAACTGTGATGTTCTGAAAGACGCATTCAAGCCCAACAGTCTCATTGACTTCTATACCGCCCTCCCAAACGATACGTACCCTAACATAAAAAAACACGCAATGAAGATGTTTACACTTTTTGGCAGCACGTATATCTGCGAGCAAACCTTTTCACACATGAAACACCTGAAAACTCCGATGAGATCAAGATTGACAGATGAACATCTGCATCAGTGTTTGAGACTGGCTGTGACTAGAATGGAACCTGACATTCAACTTCTCACCAGCCAGATGCAGGCCCACAGTTCACACTGATGAACATACGCTCACTTTTCTGACTTGAATGAGTCATTCTGAGTACAAACAAATTTAATCATAATAACATCTACTGGGATAAAATCCATCTCCACAACCATACTGGTAGTGAAATGTATTGTGCTGTGTAGGTGCTGTACCACTTAGTTTGGTTTCTCAGCCTGCTTGCTTTGTGGTTTTCACAGGGAAGTTGATGAGAAAGAGCTGCAAACAGAGGTGTCTACAAGCCTACTGGAACCTACAAAAGGATTATAAGGAAGGAACACTTTGAGAACTTTGAGAGACTGCTCATATGAGTCATTTGAGTAAGAGATTCTGCTCTGACAACTAAGCTAAACTTTTACCTGTTAAGATTGTGCACGGCACAACAGAAAGTTAATGTTCAATGGACTTTTTTTCTGTGAAGAACCCAGAGAGGGTTATTTGGTTATTATTTATTTCATAAATAGTGTTATTATATATTTCCCGACTTTATTTTTTCTGTGAAGAACCCAGAGAGGGTTATTTGGTTATTATTTATTTCACAAATAGTGTTATTTATTTCCTGACTTTTTTCTGTGAAGATCCTGGAAAGGGTTATTAATATTTGGTTATGTGTGGCTTTCTGGAAAACAATAAATGTTTACATTTAGGCACCCCTGCAATCGTCACACTTTTTCTGTTACAAACTGACCCCGGCCCCCATCAGAGAAGGGAAAAGTTATGTGGCCCTCACAGGAAAAAGTTTGGGGACCCCTGCTCTAGAGTTTGAGCTTAAATCAGCACAAATAGAATGAAGACGGTATATTTAGCTCGTCATTGTTTTCATGTCGTCTAAGTGTGAATGTGTGTTATAATATGAAGGATAACGCTGCTGTGGTGAAGGAGTTTCCCCCGTGGTGATAATGATTGGCTCAACCGCAGGATCTGCTGTTTTATTTTCTGTTTCTTTTTGGGAAATGGATTACTTCAGTTATCCTTTTTAAGAATGACAAAGATGACAGTTTGAAAACTAATTAAATACTTGTTTATTGTTAAATGCAGAACTAGGCGCAGCGTTTCTGAGAGACAGAGAGAGAGAGAGAGAGAGATGCAGAGAAAGAGAGGACAGATTCATTTATCCTCCATTGTTGTCATTAAGTACCAACATGTAGGAATGTGACGGTTGGTCTTTGTGGTATTTGTCCCGCCTCTCCTCTGTTGTCATTGGACGGCTGAGTAAAAAGTGACAGTGACGAGCACAGCGGTTTAACCAAAGTTAAACCTTTTTCTCGGAGTGTAAATACACAACACTCCCATTGCAAATAATTAAAAAATAATCTCTTTGGCAAACAGATGTTTATTATAGTTATTCATCAAGATAAGGAACTCCACCACGGTCACGTGACTTCACGTTAGACTATAAAGGAACTCCACCGCGGTCACGTGACTTCACGTTAGTCTATAAAGGAACTCCACCACGGTC